TTTGATGAATAAGTATAGAATTTATTAAACTTATTATTAGCGACCATCGAAATAGATCTAATAATAGATTAGAAAGTTCTGTATAATTCAAAAAACACATGACAATGTTTAAATCACCTTGAAACAAACAACAAATCAGTGTTAAAGTTACATTTATTTGCATTCGACATATTGTTATTATTTTGTAACACATAAGAGTGCAAAAGTGAGAGGCGTTGGATCCGGGAAGTATCAGTTTTTTCATCGAACTTATTTAGTACATGTCTATAAGAATTTATTTTAATTAACGAACTGAGATCTATTTGTTGTACACCGAGATAAAAGTTTGCTATTCTTTACTAATATTAATCCTTTCACAAGCGGCTTTCTGTGTACTATATCCAGATAAAGCAATAAATTACATGGGAATTATCTTATTGTTGACACTATGACACTTTATTTAAATACCAAAAGGGTGTCAACAACGAATTTATTTCGAAGTGGAAGAATCGAACACCAATCAATTTCCTTTGTTCTAAACAAATATAAAGAAATTGATATTTTTTTTTTGTATTCATACCTAAATAAATTTTGTTAATCCTTTTTTATTTATAAGAAAAACGTCATGGAAAAAATGTATCCTGAATGTTGAGATAATGTTAACATTATATTTAAAATTAAAATTCATCAAGTTGAATGTCCTCTGACATTTAAACAATGTTTTAACGTATCACTTAAGATAAATAACAATAGTGGTATGTTAGAAAAAACAAATGAGAGTGTAGGAAAAAGGAGAAAGTGACATTATATTAAACAATATGACAAATACAATGCATAATGTACGAATGTATAAATAACACAATAAAATAAATAAAAGATTTGTATTTCAAATTCGTGTAACATTGACAAGGCTACTTTTTTATTATACATTTTTCAAGTGATAACAAATTCTTGTCAAACCACACCCTTGCAATGCGCCCACTTTAAACTATGCAAAGTGTCTGCAAAAAGTCCAACTTACATAAGCGAATAAACATTAATTAAATTCATTTCATTAAATCAAACACGCTTAATGTTATTATTATTCTTAAAACAGCACAAAACTTTACGCGAATTTTATTTTTAGGACATGACGAGTAAGGGTTGTGCAAAATCAATTAAAACACATCACTGGGAATTAGATAAATCCCATTTTTAGCAAAGTGACACTATTACTAATCTAACTTTCTATTGGTCGGCTCTGTGAAAATTTTTAATCTAAATGCTACAGGTTAATTACACGCTGCATTTACGATCGATGGTGATATATTGTAGGTAACGGTGGTTTCATGTAATTTGTTATATCTGGAATTAGACAAAAGTGTCACAACGGGATTAACTGGAAAATTACATTTATACATATCCGCTAATTTCTTATTGCTCTGTCTTAATTGTTACCTCACAGTGTACAAACCGGCTCTTATTTCTAAAAATAATATTAATTGTCGCTGTTATACAAACTAATTCCGTGTTTACGTAAAATCTAAACACAATGAAAGTGTTATTGGCGCAATCGTGGAACTTAATTTCTAGTAAGCAGTAAGTGTTAAGGATAATCTTTAGAATATCCTTAAGGCTTAAAGTTGATGTCACTGACACAAGCAGTCAATGCCATATATTTATTTGGTTTTATTGTAGCAAGTTGCTAGCCACGAGAAATCAGCTCTTTACGAAATGCATTTCATTTTATTTTTTATATTCAAAAATAATTTTAGATCAAGATTAAATCCATCATTTAAAGTATGTATATTGACAGCTATCTCAATCTTCTCTTTGTATCCTTCAACCGAGAACCGCTCTGTGCATTTAGGTCGACAATTAAGACACATCAATAAAAATGATGTAAAAATAAAAGTGCCATTTTAGCTACACTTAACACCATTTGGCAATTGGCAAGCAACGTAACAGTGACTTTTGATACATTTCTATAGTGTTCTTGATTTGCAACACTCAAAGAAAATGTTTTTACTGTTTTTAAAGAGTATTTTATCGAACAAGTAATTGATTTAAGAGCAATAACTACCGGAAAATTTTTGATATCAATAAAATATCAAAAGTATCTAATTTTAATCGCAATTTTAATCTAAGCCCGATTTAAGTATTATTATTATATCTACGAATATGGATAATAAAAGTTTTCTTATGTAACGTAACAGACGAGAATACCTGTTTATTGCTGATAAATAAAACAGTAATATTTTACTGTTCCCGTTTTAAATAGATAATTCCAACAATAAAAAAAGATCGAAAGAATGAAGCTGTATTAGAATATATCAATACTCACTCAAGTTAAATGTAAAACTAATAAATTTATCGTATTTGTTCCTTTTGTGGAAGTAACAATTCGACTTTGTAAAATAATTCACTTCTTCATTATTCCTTCAATATCATATATTTAATAGAAGTACCGTACAAAGTGTATAGCAAAAATTTTAGAAAGATCGATTTTAATCCAGAATTAACGTAGATACTTGAACTAAAAATATTTTTGATATACATTATGATAGCCATTGAAATAGCAACACTCGCAAAATAGGTAAAGATAAAAAAATAATCTCTTTGAATTAATAATTAATTGTCAAATACATATTTTACTTCAGTAAGTAAAACAAAATAAATCCAGAAATATCTCTAATAAACAACATACTATTTTATTTATTTTTAATAGAATTTAACTTTTTTCTGATAAAAAAGTCTAGAAAAAGAAATGCTAAAAAGAGTAAGTACCTACTTGCTACAACCTTATGATTTTTTGACTTAAGCAATTGTCATGCTTGTCCCAGTTTGGTGCATATTCTTGATTTATTAATAATAAAAATATTTTATGGGCAGTGTAGTCTTAACTATAATAATAATAAATAATACCCAAAATTAATTTATCAAATCAGGAAGAATCAAGAAGCTGCTAAATGTCAAACTGGTACGTGACGTCACAAGCAATTATTTTGCCGCTAACTGTACCTAACATCCGATTACAACAGTCCATAAATTACAAACAATTACAGAATCGATTAAAATGACAATAAAAATTACCAAAAAACTAATATAGAAATTGAACGAAATTTTGTACGACTTTTAAAGAAGTTCCAATGTCAACTAAAACAATTGTTAGGTAGTTTGTGTAAATAAATTTTCAACGATTTTATAAGTTTATACAGATGATAAAAGCAAATATTTCTATGAAAAAAATACGAATAATTACTATCTCTGATTACTAATTCTAATCTTTGATACTTGATAAGGTAACAAAAGTGAGCAAATACAATAGCAAAAAGTTTGTAAAAGTTGATAAATATCGTTGTAAATTGAGTAAAGTACAGACCGAAAGGCGATTAACCCCCGCATGTACGCAAAACAACCGGAAATGATCATCGGAACGCCAAACAAAAATTTCGAAAAACTTTTCTCACCTTTCGAAACAGGTTAGCCGCATTTTTAAGTCCTACACATCGCAGTCGTCACTGAAAGTCCACATGTAATTTTAACGCACAGGTTTACTGTCAATAAGTCGCACATTTTTTTCGAATTTTCCACATTTTATCACAAAAACATCGCAGATGTGTACACTGCAATGCGTTGCAGAGAACGGTTTTCGGATAAGCTCCACTGCATTTTACGAGTTTACGTTCTTTCACCAACTACCTGCGCGAATCTACCGCGTCGATCAAGTCGCGCGCACCACGACGAAAGAAATGCGACCATTACGACTTCCGCCACTACGAAAGAATAGTCATTTTGTTCAAAACCACCCTCACCCTCAATTTATTTATAATGGCAACAAACCGATAAAAATGCAGATTTTATAAACAGTAAATTTACTTAGTTAAAAAATACTTTGAATATCGTCTATCGTCTAATTACTTTAACTTAATGATATTCTTACGAGATCAAATCAGTCGTTATTTATATCTCTAACAGTATTAGTTATTCATAACCACACCAATAAATTTTTGAATTGTGAAATATGAAGTCGCGTAAATGCAAATTGCCATAGAAACGACGCAAATTTAGCACTGCCATTGGTTGCTGTTGGGTAGCTGCAACTCCCACAACCGCATCAACTATCTCAATGTATGCATTTAGATCGTAGAAATCATATAATTAATATAGTAGATTACATACCGAGGTGGAAAGTGCTTAAAGAACAGAAAACCAATAAAAAGTTTATCAAAATTTGAAAAACATGACAGTTCAGGTTGAGAAGTGGCCATTTTCCAACGTAAACTGTCATATTAACAAATAAATCGTTAAATGAAGTTGAAATGTTTTACTTTCCAATTTTTCACATGCAAGGTAATTTGATTATTTATGATTGTAAATAATAGTTATTTATTTTGTACTCAAATTTCAATAGATAAAGTAGTCTTTTATCGTCTAGTAAAATAAAGTAATTTTTATCTACTGTTTATATTTTATCAACTAATTTCAGTAGATAAAGTGATCTTTTATCGTCAAGTGAAATAAACTAATTTTTATCTACTGTTTAGATTCAAGAAATTCTGGTAGGTGAGTACAAAATAAAACTAAATATTATACACGACGATAAAGATTGGTTATCTACTCATAAAGAAGTCCACTTGTGACTTCGTCACTCGTAAACTTAGCCTTTTCACTCGTGGATAAACAATTTCTATCGTCTTGTAAAATAAATAACTATTATTCGACGAGTTTGAGTGTAAATCGGACGCTTTATTTCACGAGTGAATTTTTAAACCACGAGTGCTAACGAGTGGTTTATTATCTACGGAATAAATAAACCGATACACGATACACGAAGACAATTACCTATTTGTCAGTTTGACTTTAGAAAATGCAGTTTTTTTGTTGCCGTTTTCATTAAGAATAATGTTTTTGTGTTAACATATAGGCACAGATTAGTTGCTAATAGCTAATCTGTGATATAGGTATCCCACGCTTTTCTGTCCACGAGTTTATCCATATGGTCGGGCTTTGCACTTGTAAATGTCAAATTGCGATGACAATCAGTCAACTGTCAAATCTTGTAAAAATGTTGGAGTTGATAAGAATTAAATAAAAGATTTAAATGTGATAAACTGAAAAGTATCAAAATGCGACCTTTTTCCAAAACATTTTTATATTTAGTGTTTTGTCTGTGCATTAATAATCCCGTTGCATTTAATGTAGTGGCGATGCAATAACCTCTTGAAAGTAAAATATTCTTATTAAATGAAATGTAGATAAGTGTGTAATAGTGTAATTTTGTGTTACATTTACTTATTCGAGTGGAATTGTACAAAACATGGGAGGAAAATTGAACTTTGCTATTTTAGCCGGTTTTTGTGCGTCTGCAGCCAGTTTGTTCGGAAAGTTATCGGGGTTGCCTACATTTGAGGTAAATAATTAAAATTAAAAGTACACAGAACAAGAAAAGAGCTTTTGCATATAATAAATTTAAACTTTTGTTGTCACAACTTTTTGTTTTAAGGGACTTTTTATTGTAAGAATTATATTTTTTGCACTGATGATAATATGTAATGCGGGGGTATGGACGCTATTTGTTAAAGCTCTACAAAATGTTGAATCATCTCTTACCGCAACAGTAATTAGTGCAGCTTCCAATTATTGTTTATCAGTAGGTTAGTAAAATTTATTTCATAATCTTCTAAACGTCTTTTTGGTTATAGGCATTGACAGGATTTTTAATTTTTGGAGAGGTGACCACCCTGCTTTGGTGGTCGGGGATGTTTTTGATCATATGTGGACTATTATTGATACTGCGGGACCAACCAAATGAGCATACATTAAACAAGTCGAATTAATATTTAAGTTTTCTTAAGAAATATGTAGAGTACAAATGCTACAAATAAATAAATAAGAATTAATTTGTTCTAAAGTTTTCAAATAACATTTAATATCTACAATATATGTATGGTAGACATTATGAATAGGTACACCTAAATTATAATCCAACTTGAATTCCTGTTGGGAGTAGAATTGAAATTCAATTTGCAAAGTTTGATACAAAAGTACCTAGTTTAGCTCAACTCTCATGAAACTCTGGTAAAACATTGATCATGGAAAGTTTACGTAAATTGAAAAAAACGAATCCTTAACATAATCTGACCTTTCTCTCATTCACTTTATTGAACATACTGATAATAATATAAAAAGTAGAGGCACTACGTCTGTTCAAAGATGTATAATTACATTGACAATTTTTACGAAATAAAAGCTTTTTGTATTATTTTTACAATACTAAAAAAAAACAAAGACTTTAACATAGTAATCTTTATTAACCAGCCTAAGCACTTTATCTTTTGAAGGTTACTGTTTACAATGTATCAAAGTTACTGGTGTAATGATCGACAATAGATTTAAATACACCATCTATAATCATTTGAGCATCATTTTGATCCATAGGTAGTTCTTTATCTACTACTATACCTATTTGAAATCTATTCTCATATGTTAACACTGAGAATCCTATCCCTACAAACAAGAGTTCAAGAGTTTGTGTTTCGAAAAACAGGAAAAAGTGTTGAAACCTGTAGATCCACGGTGAGGAACCCAATAGATGATGTCACGGATGGTATCCCCGTCCCAAGAACCTAGTTTGAATCCTGGTAAAATGCTTATGATGGCTGTGCTGTCAGTCAAATATAAAATTTGTTTCAACAAAAGTTCCGGTAGTATAGAAACCACAATATTAAGAAACCAGTGATTGACCTAAAATTATGTTTCGTATTTTAATTATACAGACCTAGATTCAGCTATACGAAAATGTCAGGAGAATTCCTCAAAATCATTGTGTGCTTTCTCACGTCTTCAAAAATATTATCGTTTGTAAGAACAGGCAAAGTTAGTTCTGCTACTGAATATCTGTTTGTCAAATCGAAAATATTTGTGTCTGGTTGAGCTTTTAGTAGCACTGGAAGTACGCAAGTTATATGCTTTGGCACCATTTGAGTTTTCTGCAAAAAAGGAATTAGAACAAAAGACTTGAGAACTGAATAATACATACTTTCAAGTAAAAATCTTTTAAACTTTTTGAAATTGCACATAATATCACATCCGAAAATCGTGTTTCTGGCAGTTTATTTTTTATCATTTTTACAATCGGTACCATTTGAGGGTTCTCTTCAACAGCCCAGGCTACAATTTTCTCTCCGCAAAGACTATCCCGATGTAGGAAATTGACATCATGTTGTCGCGAAAGTTTCTCGATTGCTACTTGAGCGGGGCCATATAAAATATGTTTAAATAAAGCAAACCAACTTGTCGCGATGCCCGATTTCGCCCATTGCTTTCGATAGCTTTCTGATGGTTGTGTAGTACTTTCACTTGAAAACTGGTGGGCTAAAAGGTCGAGTAAAGCAAAACCATCACCCAAGCTGTGGTGACAACGAAATACGATAACAAATTGATTTTTGCTGTTTCTTTTAAGCCATTGTGCCTCTTTGTCAAAGACCAAAACTTCCCAAAGACCTGTATCTTGTTTGGGCATCGCTCGAGAGAAACACTCTTCAACAAATTTCACCAAGTACGATCGGTCAAAAGTTGAGTAGACATTAATTATTTTAAAAGCGTTATCTAGGGAGTATTGGTTTTTTATAAGGAAACTGTAGCCACCGAATTTTTGACGTATCGATCCTAGTTTGGACTCTTTTTTAAAAAGCCTCTCGTGGATTCTTCTTTGCAGAGTTTCTATAAAGTGATTTAAATCTTTGGTTGATTCCATAATAATAAGCGCGGTGATTATGCTCTTGGAGGCATCCTCAAATGCCCAAAACGCATCTTTTCCTTCAAGTAAGCCACCAAATAAACGACCATATTTCATTTTCAAAATAAAACCGATGATTTGTCGATAACAACCCAATATTATAAATGTTGGAACGAAAATTGTTAGTAACACTACCATAATAAGAAACAACGAAAAAATATAATATATTCCAGGTTTTAGAGCCATTTTTAAAAAACCACTTCACATAATAAAAGTAAATTCACGAATTTTATACGTTCTATTATTATATGTAAGTAGAGGACATAGAAACCAAGAAAGATATCGATGGAAGGGATGCGCAGAGACGAATACTGCTCGCGGACGAATCCATTCGTAAATATAGGGGAGTTCTGAAATCAGCTGAGAGCAGTGGCGTGTATTCGCACTTATTTATTTGAACAAAACAAATAATCCATATACTGTAACGAAATTATTTTGATTTTATTACTTTATTACTAAATAACATTTTTAAGGCATTTGTTCTTTTATAAATGGCAATACTCAGTAACCATTTGAGAAAGTTATTATAAATTGTTGAACAAGGTTCAATTTATTACACTGGCGGACACGGAATTTTGGACATCAAATTTATGTCAGTTCAAAAAATGTCAATGTAAGCCACGCTTTATTGTCATCATGATTGCCATTTGAAACTAAAATTTGAAAGTTTTAATTGAAATTTAATTTTGGCGTCGATTTTCCGAAACAATAATGCCAGCCATACGTATTTTAATATAGGTTCAATAAATTATTTTGATTTGTTGTCATTTTTTCTCTAGCTGTCAGGATAAAAATTACAAAAACCGAAAGTGAGGTTAGTTGCTTAAGGTCCGTTTTACATTTTTATGTCAGTCAAATGGTATTAAAATTTTTACATCTTATTGACTAGGTATGAAAACAAAACATCATTAAAGAATGTTTAATATACCTACTTATTAACAGGGGCATCTTATAAGTGTTAACTTTTAAAAATTATTTAATAGTACATTATATTATAAGTGATAGAAAAGCATCATTATACGCGAGTGAGAATTTTGACGAGTGCACTTGCGCACTCAACCTGTAAGATAAAATTAATTATGATACAAATATTGTTTTTTAATGTTTATATTTTCAATAAACGAATCTATTCGTTACTTTTTGTTCGTCTTTTATTTATACAGAAATTAATATCACCGTATATTTGAAATAATCGTGGAGCATCGTATGAATTTTTTATATTTAATATCTCAGTCAATGAATATACGAAAAAAAATGCAACTCTACAATTCCCGTTTTATTACAGAATGGTTCTGTGTTACGCCACTGCTCAAGTTTCCCCACTACACCGAGTACGCATTGGCTCCGCCTATCGATATCCTTCTTGGTTTCTATGAGGTCTAAAGAACAGTATTTTTGTTAATCTGCACAACGGTGAACAACAGTTGTTTCGTCAAGTTTCGGCGTGTGACTGATTGATTTGCCGTAATTATTGACGATGAATAAAATTATGGGGTGGTTTTTATTTTCTCATAAAAATTGGTATTTTTTAAATTGCTCTATTTAATCAAAAGTATTTTTAGCTACTTTTGTGGACATCATAGATTTTTTAGAAGGATATTGATCGCTTAATTTGATATAACATCAAGGAACATTTATAAGGCTTTCCCTTACAACCTTTAAGTGAAGCAACAGAAAATACCACAAAATATTTTATTTATTCTAGAATTATGTATTTAGTTCAGAAAAGAATTTGTACTGAATTATTTTCAGGTGCATATATTTATATTTCCTAAACCTCTCTTCAACACAATCTACGAGAGAAGATTATTTAAAAGGGTTAATTATCAAGTTAGGTAAATTAATATTAAAAATTTAATTAGCACAAATAGTTGCCTCTAATCCTTTTTTTTTTAAACGGAAATTACCAAGTCAAAATTTTGGTAAGAAAATTTAATATTGGTTGCTAGACATACTTTGTATTTTATTTAACAGATCAACAAATGAAATAACTTAATTGTATAACAAAACGTTGGCTGGATTTTCTTTTCTTCTTTACCACCTGTGCGTTCCTCCTACGTGCCAAGTAGGAGTTCTGTTTTACGTTTGAGTCCTGATTTGTTCCGATTTAAGAATTTTCATTTGCATCGAAAACAAAGTGTCTTTCAATTTAAAGTTTTCTGTTTGTCAACTAAAAGTAGAAATACCTACTTAAAAATCTATTTTAAAATGTTTGCAGACAATGAAAGAACTCCCAATAAATTTATACAGAAAAAAAATAAATTAATATGTTAATTATTATTAGATTAGGGTCCAAAAATTGTTTTTTGTTTTTCATGTCAATGTTTTGCATCTCATACTCTTATTATATTTATTCTTATTAAATTTTTAGACAGATACATTAGTAAGAACTGTTTTTTTGTGTTCTGGAATAAATTTAGTATAATTATTTTTATTAATGATTTAGAATTTTTTTAAAATTTTCCAGAACTTGAAAATAAAAAAATCGAAAAACTTTATCCTTGAGAAACGTCACATTTTTTAATACTTTATCATTCATCAATTTAAAATAAATAGTTTAAGCAAAAAACGTTTGGTTCTATACTTTTTGTTCACCTGGTATTTTAACAGCCTGTTTTTTGTCTATTTCAAATAAAATTAATTACTAAATAAAATATTGTAATTAATTAGGGATATGATTTTATTAACTGTAATAACAAATAATATTTATTTAAATAAAAATTATTCAAAAAATTATTTTATCAAAATCTAAACACTCCTCCTATAGTATATGTTTTCTTTCCTGGGCCTTCATGAACCACAGCATGAGCGTCGAAATTGTCACTAAGATGTTTCAAAGTGAAGGCTTTACTCAAAAGTCTCCCATTTGAAATCCAGATGATGCCCTGATAACAAATTTGCCACTAATAACAATAACAGTGATAAAAAGACACAAGAAACCATTTCGAAAAAGCAAACAACCGGTTATCAGTTATTAGCTACAGTTGCTGATGCTGATGCTTTCATTAGACAATTCAAATTTTAATAAGTTCAAAGGAGCTGCTTTCTTATATACCTAGGCAACAATAATTGTAATTCACATAGTGGGGTATTAAGGAATTACCTCGGGAATTGTCTTTTTTGAATTTTTAATTAGAAATTAAGTAGAAAAGCACAAATACGACTGAGATAAAATTTTATTAAGCATTAAAAATGTTACATCATACAAATAAACACGTTTATGTTAAAATTGATTGTTTCAATATGAAATTAAAATGCAACATCAATAAATTCGATTCATTTGAATGATTTTTGGAAGTGCTAGTTTCTAAGAATTTTTAGTTGTTTTTAATTTCCGAAAAACATTGTTAATAAGGGTAACATGCATATTTTCGGGCAAAAACAACTATTTATGATATGTACTGTTGAAAATATCACAATGGAGGTATAGTTATTTAAAGTTAAATAGTGCCATCAGTTGTTAAAATTTCGTAACATTCACATTCATAACAGCTATAAATAGAATTATTGTCCTCTTCTGTCACTTATTTAAAAAGAACTGTCAAATTTCTCCTACATTTTAACATTTTAATATTTGTTACATTACTTTAGACATTTTGTCAAAATGTAAGATTAAGCTTTGACCATTATTGTAGTTTGCAAAATCTTAATATTCTTGTCGTTTAATCCAACATAAAATGTTGACCCAAGCAAATGAACAAGTCCCAACATAAACGACCCTAAAGGCAGGGGGGATTAACAAGAAATTTACAGTTTGGGCGGGAAGCCAAAACATGCAACTAGTCTTAAATGTGGGAATAATCTTCTGTTTACACTCCTCAAAAATATCCTTCTTCTTTTCCATAATACTCATAGCTGCAGAATTCGTATTATTTAAGAAAAAAAGAATGCTGGTAACTCACCAACATAAAAAATAATCAAAATTTGTGGGGTCATTAAGAATTGGTCCAGTAGCAATTTTTGTGCTACAATTTTGTACGATGTTCCTATAAACTTCTTGTCTAGCCATCTATACCTAAAAAATCGTTTTTTAACTTTTATAATATAAAAATATATGTTGATAATATATTAATTTTGGTTTGTGACGTACCAGTACTGATATACTGGAGCAAAAACAGTCACACCGAGTATTCCAAAACATGTTAGCATTTGGCGGTCATAGACGATCGGTTCTTTGTTCTGAAATTTAATTACATTCAAAGAAAATCAGAAACCAAAATCAATATAATAAAAATAAAACACTACATTTTATATAAAAAAAAAGTATAATACCAAATGGTCAAAAATGGTCCCTGTATCCCAGTTCCGTAAATCGCATATCTAGCGATTGCTGGGGTGTCGTAAGGTGTGGGCGTTTTAGTCTGTCAAATAATATTAACACACAACTGAATCAAATTAAAAAACAATAAAATATAAGCGAACTTACTCTAAATGAGGCCCACATAAAAAATAACCGCAACGTCTTAAGTGGGCATTTTAATCGCGAGTGTTTTTTTGTGTTTTTTTAATAATTTAGTACTCACCAGAACTTTTCTCGATATGGTTTGTTGGGAAAACTCAGCTCCTACGTAAAGTGTCCCGTACACCAGCGAATTGGAAATGATTGGGTGTTTGTTAAATGCATATTTAATGAATTTTAAAATACTGGACATGCTGAAATATCATACTATTAGAGCAAACAACAAATATTTAATACAAAAATTTCACATACAAGAATTCGATATTTATAATACACTAATAACACTTGTACGGCCTTTGAGAAACATTTTTTTTATGTTTGAATCGTTTCATTTTTTCTCCAGTTAAAAATTGTACTTGCTAACAAAATGATTTAACAAAATGATTGGGTGGCATTTGGGCAAATATTTCGCAACATACGAGTTTTTGCGCAAGAACACTCTTATTGATTATGATTCTCTCTGTTTCAAATGTTATAGGACGTGAATCCTAATTACAGAAGAAGATGGTTCAAATTTACGGAAAATTAATAATAATTCAGTTTAGAGTTATTTTTGTAAATAGGAATTTTCCTACACTTTTATTTGTTTAATATAATTTGTAATGGCATTGAACGTCAACAATTTTAAGGTCGTGTGTAATAAAGGGCTCTTATTTACCTGTAACACAGTAACAGAATAAGTAACAAGAACTTTAGAGTTCTACACACTACAACAGAGGTTTTGTTTAATGAATTCAATTGGCGGTTGTTAAATAAATTACTGTAAATAGAATATGTAACCTTCTACCACTGTTATGGGTATTAAATAGCTTATCTTATAGACTTTCTTTGAGCGACACGTGATACTTTTCTATTCACTATAGGTAGTACTTAGACATAATTTTTATAGAATAATGAGATATGCTTACCTTTATCATATCATAGATACGATAATTTATAGTAGTATATAATTATAATATCTAATTTTGGAACAAATTCTTTTGTTAATGTTTTTTAAAATTCAGTACAATAATTTTTATTTTTTAGATTGTTTTTGTAATTGAGTCGCGTAAGGAACATGTTTTCTGCATATGTTTATGAAATTAACATGTTTAATTATAAGTTAATACATAGTAATGTACATAGTAATGGGATAATGGGAGTTTCACCAACCATCAATTTATTAGAGTCACGATTTGCTGACTAAAAACAATATAATAATTATGTGTATACATAATAGGTACATTGTTTATATGAATTTTTATAGATTAATTATGACTAGTAACTTCTGCTTTTTTTAATTAGAAAATTAATAAAATTTTAAAAAGTAAAAACTGTTTTTATATTTTCCGCCATGTCAACCAAATGTCAACAAAAACGTAACCTAACAAATTTAAAATATAACCTCCAAATAAATTGTTGCGGCATGTATTATGCTGTATTTGTTATAAAATATCATCTGAATAATTGAACAATGTTTACGACCAAAGCTTTTATTAAAAAGAACAAAGTTGGGAACTATCTGAAGGTTAGTATTTGATGAATTAACATGGGGGCTGTTATTATTTTGATCATTATTGCAGCATGTTCGAGAACATTATATTCGTGATGACATTTCTTGTGGTCTTCAAGAATGTGAAGTTTGTTTTCCAGTGGAGTCATTCCTTTCCCCAGATCATCAAAACAGATGTGCTTTATTCAAATACAACCACTACTTAATATTAGACACAAATGTTGTTCTTGATCAGGTATATTTTGAGCCTTTTATACAAGTAAACCAATAAGAAACAATTTTTTAGATGGATATTTTGGAAGAGGCAGCTATTGGCAATGTAATAATCCTCCATACAGTTCTAAATGAAGTGAAACACCGAAGTTTACCAATTTACAAACGCTTATGCAACGTAATTGAAAACCCTAGTCGCCATTTTTACGTTTTTATTAACGACCACCATCAGTAAAAACACATTTTTTTCTTTAATTCTAAACATAAAGTAATGATTTTAGAGGGACTTATTTGCAACAAAAAGAAGGTGAACTCATTAATGACTACAACGACAGGTGTATTCGAGCTGCATGTTCTTGGTACATAAAGCACGCCCCTAAACAAAAATTTGTTTTTCTTACTGACGATTCAGCTAATCGAATTAAGGCCCAACAAGAGGATATCCCTTCTTACACTGTCTCAGAATACGTTCAAAATCTTGACGCGTCAGGTCTCACTGATAAATTATCGCGGAAGGATTTCCACGTGAATGATTTTGCTAAAGACGTTTTCCCCAATCATTTGAGTAACGTCGAGGTTTTGACTGGCATAAGACAGGGAAAACTGCTCCAAGGAACATTCCGGGCTTCTCGCGATAACTTCCTGGAAGGTTTCGTTAACGTGGATTCATACGATGAACCTGTAAGACAATTGACCACTAGTGGCGCCACCTACTATATTTGCTTTAGGTGATAGTTCAGGGGCGGGCTGGTCTCAACCGCGCCGTCGATGGCGACACTGTGGCCGTTGAACTGTTAAAAGAGGAGGAATGGGTGTGTCCCAGCGAAATTGTCCTAGAAGACGAAGGTGACGAAACTGTTGATGATGTTACCACAAAAGAGGATGAGTTGAAGAAAGCGACGAAGAAGAAGAATGGGGCTAAGCCCACCGGACGCGTCGTTGGGATTATTCGCAGAAAGTGGAGACAGTATTGCGGAATTTTGCAAGGGGGCATTGATGGCGTTTATCAGTTGTTTGTCCCAGCTGATAAGAGTATACCCAAAATTAAAATTGAGACTCGCCAGGCAGAGTTCCTGAGAACTCAGAAATTGATTGTTACGATCGATTCTTGGCCTAAGCATTCGCGATATCCTCATGTGAGTAGAAGTGAAAAAATACTTTTATCGCAATTTTGTTAATTAGGGTCATTTTGTGAGAGCTTTGGGCAACATTGGAGACCAAACTACCGAAAATGAAGTCATTTTGTTGGAACATGACGTTCCTCATAGCCAATTTTCTGAGGAAGTTCTAAACTGTTTGCCTAAAATGCCTTGGGTCATCACCGATGATGTAATATCTACATTAGCTGTTTTTTTTTATGTAAATTTGCTTTTTAGGATGTTAAAAAACGTGTCGACCTTAGACACCTCGACATTTGCTCGGTGGATCCCCCAGGTTGCACTGACATTGACGATGCCCTTCATTGTCGCCCAATCGCTGATGATATATTCGAAGTTGGTGTGCACATCGCTGATGTTTCTTATTTTATAAGACCTGGAACGCCTCTGGATCGCGAAGCTGCGTCTAGGGCCACTACAGTGTATTTGGTTAATAATAGAATAGATATGGTCCCAGAGCTGCTCAGTTCTAATCTCTGTTCCTTACGGGGAGGGGAGGAAAGATTCGCGTTTTCTTGTGTTTGGGAAATGGACAAAAACGCGAACATTTTAAATACACGATTTCATAAAAGCATTATCAAATCAAAGAAAGCCATGACGTACGAAGAGGCGCAACTAATAATTGACGACAAAACCAAACAGGACACTTTGGCTGAGTCTTTGAGGAGTTTGAATAAGTTGGCGAAAATAATGAAGCATCGCAGACTAGCGAATGGGTACTTTTTGATTAAAATAATTCATTTAATTGTTTAAATTTTTAGAGCTTTAGTCCTTGCATCACCTGAGGTGAAAATTCAACTAGATTCTGAAACAATGGAACCATTGGACGTGGAAGTGAAAAAACTATTTGAGACAAATTCCATGATTGAGGAATTTATGTTACAAGCTAATATCAGTGTTGCTGAACGAATCCTTGAAGAGTTTCCCGATTGTGCGATGTTGCGTCGCCACCCAGTCCCTCCTGCCATTAATTTCGATCCTCTGGTTAAAGCAGGACGTCACCTTGTACGTATTTCACCTATGTCTCCTCAAATCTGATTTAGTTGCTCTAGGGCTTTGAAATTAAAGTAGATTCGGGCAAAAATTTAGCAAAATCGCTTGACGATGCAGTGGACTCAAAGAATCCTTATCTGAACACAATGTTCCGAATTTTAGCGACGCGTTGTATGCTACAAGCCGTTTACTTTGCAAGTGGTACTTACCAAAAAGAAGAGTACTTTCATTACGGTTTAGCTGTGCCTTTATACACACATTTCACGTCACCGATTCGTAGATATGCTGATATCATAGTGCACAGGTTGTTAGCAGTCATTTGCGGTGCCGATTCCACGTATCCAGATCTTTTGGATAAGAATAAAACGAATGAGTTGTGCCAAAATTTAAATTACAGGAATCGAATGGCTCAGTATGCTGGAAGAGCGTCAATTGCGTTCAATACTCATGTGAGAATTTTTTATTTGTTTTAATAATTTTTGGTGTGTAGTTGTTTTTCAAAGGGAAACTTCAAGATGAGAAAGGTTACGTGTTGCACGTCCGAAAAAACGCTTTGCAAGTTCTCATACCCCGATATGGCTTGGAATGTACTCTATTTCTAGCTAAAAAGGGCGAAATTTCGAATATTTTTGAGTATAATGAAGAGGTAACTTTAAAGCGGACCGCAGACTAAACCAACTCATCACTACTTGATTTTAGGACCAAACTCAAAAAACTGGAAGTATTGTTATTCATGCTTTTGATCCCGTTGTCGTCCGTCTATCGCTCGATTCCAATAACATTCAACATGAAAAATTCGTTTTACAACTTGTCAAACCTTACGTTGAGGGTTTCAGTGTCCCTCCTCTTGAGGAACCAGAAAGTAACGAAAAGAAGCGTAAACAACCGGAACCGGAGATAAGTAAAAAGAAAGGAAGAAAAAGACACTAGTAATTATTGTAAGAAAAAGTTTTTAATGTTCTTATTAAAATAAATGTTTGACGACTTGTTTGTCAAAACCACAGGAATATAAAGTTTCTTTATTCCATGCTAACCCTCGCACGATTCCGGAGTGTTTATCGTTGCAATAAGCACTGTTTAAGATTTCGTCCTCGCATTTGAATACTAAAACTTTATTAATGTCGCCACACACTGCAAGTTTATTGGAATCGTCAAAAGCTAATCTGTAGATGTAACAGTTGCAACTAGCAACTGAAATAAAGTCTTTCGGTTCGCGTTTATCTAAAAGGTAAATATCGCCTCCTTCAGATCCCACAACCACGTAATTCGTGTTGTGTTGGTTGCAAGCAACGCTTGTGAGAGAGCAAAATTCATTGTTATACAAGACTGCAATTTTTAGTTATATTGAAATAAATGACAAAAAATAGTTACCTGACGCAGGGCACGGATTGCGGTCGTCCCAAATGCAACACTTCCGGTCCATTGAAGCTGTTACAAAGACGTTTGGTTCTGACCTGAGTGTATCAACATAGTTTATAAGCTCTGTGTGATAATCGCTGGAAATAAAAACTTAGATAAGGGAAAAATTGGTGATAAAACTTACGGAAAATGATGTAGTGGTTTTCTGATAGTGCTGTTAATGTCCCAAATGGTTACCGCTTTATTTGAGCAGGTGAGGATCCGTGAGCTGTTTTTCCAAACAGCGATTTTTGGAATGCGATCAACTTCTCTATAATATCCTGCTGACTGTATTGTTTGATTCTCACGTGATATTGTAAGAATATTTAAAAGCCCAGTATCTTCGGCTAAAGCAAACTTCTCCCATATTACTTATAGTATATTCTTTACGAAGTAATAACTTACAGTACTGTCGTTTAAAAATTTCCCATCAGAGACTGTAGAACCAACAAGGCTTCTATTGTGTTTCAGAAGCAGTAAATTTTCTTCATTGGAGAAAAATAATAAAGTGCCTTCCCAAAGTGTCCCGTTTAGATTAGCACAACCAAGAATTGATTCGTCTAAAATGCAAATTAAGAACCGAAATTGAGAAAAAGGACCCATTACCTTTATCGTTAAATTCTAGAAAAAGTAAGTGTTCGTATACGACGGGTGTCTTTGAAAGTTCGATTTTCCGCTGAAGGGATTTATTTGGTGGGTAAACTACCGTATTTAGATCGTTTTCTATCATTTTAAATATTTTAACAAATTCAAAAAGGAGTTTGAGGTTAAGTTTTGGTGCAAAAAATGTCACTAAAATCACATGTGCGTGTAAAAATTCCCCTAGTCCATCACTTCGTAGGTCTTGTAACTAACGTCACAAAAATCTCGTGTAATTTCTTTAAATACGATGAAATGGTGTTGCGAAAAAATACGCAGATGATTTTCCTGTGATTGGTGAGTGTTTTGCTAAAACTTGGTCGCAGGAACGGGCTTGTTTATTTATTGTGTGCAAAAACAAGGTGTTTGGCAAACGGGTGCGGCGCTTTAGCCACGCGATTTTGCTGATATTTCTTATTCTTCATTTATTACTCAAGTTCGTCCAGATATTTGTAATGGTGCCAATAAATCCTAGTATTTTGAGAATGGCCGTCAGTGTAGTATTCTGAAAAGGTATTTTACCCAACGAGATGCATAAATTGCAAGAAAACGTAGCGTGAATGTGCCTCAGAGTGATAGGAAATAGCAAACAGTAATCCTTGATGTATAGTTTTTGGAAGTATTTCTTTAATTTACCTTCTTCTTTTGCAATTATCTGGTAGTTACAGTCGTTTCGTTTCATACCTCCAAATAATGATAGAAAATTACATCAGTAGGTATGTCAGATGCAATTATTTCTAACCATTTTTCTCTCATTTTGTAATTAAGTAGGATAACGTGTTTCTCTCGATTTTGCTCAAGCTCGTCGGTGTTTCACTCGTGGAGATAATTTTATCGCGGTTTTTCATAACAAAATATTAATAAGAATTGTGATTATTTTCTTATTTAAGACGTTTCCATTTTTTCTAGACTGTAGATAATGGCAGAATCATGTCCTTCAGGCAGAAGTAATTTCAACCCTTTATCTAGTATTAACCGAGATTCTGAACTTCCAAAACAAGACTGCACCAGCCCTAGCCCTACTGAAACTGTTTGTTTAGAATCATTGTGTACCACTGATAATGCCCCAGGTACATCCCAGAATCACTTAGCTCCATTAAGTGACAAATTAGATGAAATATTTAGAATAAACCAATCCGACGAAGAAACAGGAAAAACAAGCTTTCTAAATAAATTAGGTCTAGAGGAATGTGATGAAGAAGACAGTTTTGAAAAAGAAGAAAACTGGGAGGATTGCACTGAAGGAGATCTCTCTGAAGAAAATCAAGAGCTAGAAGAGGTACTCCACATCCACCCTTCACAACATTTTTTACTAAATGCCTTTTACAGGACGAAGATAGCAGTGAAATTTTTTCAGGTTCACCACCAGGTCCCCATCAAACTACACCAAGGAGTTCTTACGCGAAAAGAAGTGGGTCGTACGCCACTGACAGATACTGGGTAAGCAAAAATTTTAAATACATGTTTATCGTCTGCAGCGAATGTGCAACATAATAATATTTAAATAATTGTTTTGATTATAAATGTGTACAAACACGTGTTTAAAAAAATGGAAGAGAAGCTGCAAAGTAGAATATTTAGCAAGCGTATGGCTTAGTTTAATCACAGATAAAATTTCTGCTCGGGTGGTTGAAACTGATATATTCACTCTCCTTCATATCTATTACAAAATAAGCCTCGATTATGAACGTTTTCTGATTTTCATAAATATGTATATTTTTTACAAATTTCATTTGCTTCTCCAAAATACTTGCGAAACTTAATCTCATTTGGTAATTGGACGTGTTGAAATTAGCAAACCACCACCAAAAGCTGTTAAATATACTCAGTAGTACTACGTTTTATGAAAAAGTAAAACTATAACATATTTTACTTGCACTAGTCTTGATTTAGAAAGTTTTTAATGTGATAAAAATTGGAGGCTAATTTATTTTAATAATAATTTATTTTTATATTTAAAAGACAGTCGCTACATTTTTAATAATTTCATTCTTTATTAACTCCTAGATAAAATAATAAGACTTTGTCATATTTAATACACAAATTAATGTGTATGCACTTCTAATTAGGAGTATTTGCGAAAAGGTGTGTCATTTTTAAAGTCCGCGACTAAATATCCTTTACCCATACACAAGATCAATATGCAAAGGTTTATAATAATTTCAATGTATTTTCATAAATGACGTTACCGCATTTTGAATTATTCGAAACTTTACGGCAGTAGAATTCCACACAAAAAATTGTTACTTATGACAAAAAATTTTCATTGTTTAAAATAAACATTATGACTAAGTAAACTGATATTAAAAAGTCTTTAACCTATTTACAATATCGCAATTTGGAATTAAATTTAAACTATTTTATGTTTATTGTTCTTGGTTAAAAATGTTCCAAGTGTCGGTAATCATAAGATAATTAAATACTGGTTATACAATAACATAAATTATATATGGACGTATAAGGTGATAATTTTTATTTGTTCTGAAATTGTTTTTTGTATACTAATATATTTTTTTAAATTGCTGAAAAAATGTTTGACAGCCTCTAATTCTGCGTTTAGTAAACATCGTTATTTAAATATCTATGATAATAAGGCATTTCCACATAATCACATGTATTAGAATACAGTGTAATAATAGTAATAATTAACTGCATGTCATAAAAAACTTATCAGGTTAATTCTGCTTTTTAACGCTAGTTTTTCCGGTTTAAAAATGTTACATTATTTTTTTACCTTAATGGTTTTTAGTATTAGTGAAGGTAATCACACTAATCAAAAATGTAATGAGTGTTACAACAAAAACAAATCAAAATACTAATTAGAGTACTATTTTAAAAAATGATGAAACTTGTAAGTTGAGTCGATAACATAATATGTTGATCGACGCATGATTTTAGACTAATCTTCTCTCTGATTTCTTTTTTGTTCTAAAATTTTTGTTTTGTTTTATCAGTTCTAATGAAATAATTTTTTAGAGAAAACGGAAGTTGGACGTGCAGAATGGGTTTCCGTGTAAGAAGTTACTACCAGAAAAGAAATCTGACGTTACTTCAATGCCATTTGAGCCCTCTGCTCGAGCGCCAACGGCGCCCGAAACCAACGGTAATAATAAACAAAATATAAACGATTGTAATAAAATCTCTTTTTGGTACAGGTACCACCCCAAGCGACAAAAAATCGCGTCTCGTAATCCCGACCAAAGACAATCCGCCCCCGGAAATGTCCGATTGGCTGACCCAATTTCAAAAATGGTCGAACGCGGAACGAATTCTCGCCATCAGCGAACTGATCGCCCGATGCGAACCGACCCAAGTCCGTCACATGATGCAGGTGATAGAGCCCCAGTTCCAGCGGGACTTCATCTCACTACTGCCACGTGAGCTGGCCTTGAACGTGTTGTCGTTTCTCGAACCAAAAGACCTGCTCCGAGCGGCGCAGACTTGCCGCAGTTGGCGCTTTTTGGCCGAAGACAATCTGCTGTGGAAGGAAAAGTGTCGTCAGGCAGGCATCGACGAGATACCCAAAAGGAGGTGCTCGCCAAGGTCTCCTGGGACGCAGATGTCGCCATGGAAGGCCGCCTACATGAGACAGCACGCCATCGAAATGAATTGGAGAAGTAAACCGATCAGGCCGCCGAAAATGCTAAAAGGACACGACGACCATGTGATCACATGCTTGCAGTTTTGCGGGAATCGCATTGTGAGCGGATCCGACGACAACACTCTAAAAGTGTGGTCGGCGATTACCGGAAAGGTTAGTTTTTTTATTGGTGTTTTTGAATATTTAGTATGAGTTGTTTTTCTAGTGTTTGCGCACTTTGGTTGGCCACACTGGAGGCGTTTGGTCGTCTCAGATGTCAGGTGCGACAATAATTAGCGGCAGTACTGATAGAACACTGAAGGTGTGGGATGCCGAAACGGGGGATTGTATTCATACACTCAACGGCCACACTTCGACGGTTCGGTGTATGCATCTTCACGGAAACAAGTAAGTCAACAGTATTGTGTAACAAATCGTTTAATTTTCGGTTTGTGTTTAGGGTTGTAAGTGGATCTCGTGATGCAACTTTGAGAGTGTGGGATATTAAAACCGGGGCGTGTCTTCATGTTCTTGTGGGACATTTAGCCGCCGTACGATGTGTTCAATACGATGGTCGATTGGTTGTTTCCGGAGCTTATGATTATATGGTTAAAGTTTGGAATCCAGAAAGAGAGGAGTGTTTGCACACATTACAAGGTCACACGAATCGTGTGTATTCACTACAGGTGAGTTATTAAGTTTGTAGGTTTCTCATGTTCATTTGTGTTCATTTATACTAGATTGTTATGAAGGGTGTTTACGTTTTTACAATTGATTAGCTATTTCATTATCATTGAAAGAGATTGCTAAAAACCATAATGATTTTAATTATAATAATTATTCCTAACGTCCTTTTTCCAAATTTTTGTTTCATTAGAGCTATTCTACAAAAATATAGTTTTTCTGTGTTGATTTTAATCAGATTGCAAGTCGAGAATAAGCTCTTGATAATGAGACCTGCTTGACAAACAGTTTTGTTTCTTATGTCTCAGATGATACAAATATTGTAATCTCGAGAATGTGCAAAAGTACAATCTCAAAGATAAATAAAGGTTTATTCATAGCATCAGATGTTTTACAAAAAAGAATTAGGGACTAATTGTAGCCAGATGATAATATCCATTTGCACAAATTATATACTAAATTTTTTCTATAAGTATTCATAAAAAATAATGTAAACAATTAAATAGTAATAATGATCCGTTGTCTGCATAAGGATTAAGAATCTTTGCCTTGAGTATCTGTTTTGATCAAAGTCTTCCACAAATCACTACATTATTTTGGTACGTCTCCAAAAACCTTCGTGTTTTCCTAAGAAATAATGTAACTGTTGAAAAACAAAATAAAACTCTGATCTGATTGGCTAACCCGAGCACTAAGTATTAAAAAGTGAAAAAACCGTCCTTTTGCTTCAATATTTGGTAATTTTCCGATTTAAAATTGAAAAATTAATTTTTAAATTTCAAAAACCTCATTCAAAAAGTTATAGTTATTTATGTAATAAAGGAATAAACTACTATTTTCATCCTGAGAATGTAGGTAACGCATTTTCATTCAAGGGATTAACGTTGTTCATTCCAGAGATATAAGTACACGTGAGTGCAAAATGCAAATTGTTAAAAAGAAAATTGTCATATTTTTTGAGATTTCCATAGTGCGAAGAAGGTTGTTCCCAAAAAGGTTAGAAAACTATCAAAAGAAATGTCGTATTTGGTGGTCTTGGCAGTGCAGTGTCATAGCCAGTGTTAAAACCAAAAGGAAAAACATGGAAAAACTTGATAGAAGTTTGGAAGATGCCTGACAATTATGAAATTGTGAATTGTGACAAAGACAAAGTCAAAATATTGGTATTTATTAACAGGCTAAATTATAAAAAAATCAATTTGCGTTTTTTTTGCACTTAACTGCAAAACTATACAAAACTTTCTTCCCAACAGATGAAATTAATAAGAAAATGATAAATTTATCAGATAGTTGTCAAATTATTCACTTCATTCCGTTGCAATTTTAATAGTAAAATCGGTATTTGATTTATTTTATTTCCAAGGGTGTAAAGCGTCACTTTATTACATTATATTTTTATGGGTTAGAATAAATCAGGAGTGAAGGTCCAATAATTGTTCAAAAAACATTCAAAAACTCTGAGTCCAATGATTACGTAGTAAAAGGTTTGAGGTTTGTGTCGAGTTCCGTATTAAGTTGCGTTGAACTCCAGAAATCAGATGATATCACTTTTGAATGAGGACCATCAAATATCGTAATCGACTTGTATTACAGTTATCTGCTTAGCCGATTTACTTATTTAATTTTTCTGTTAAATTTGTAGTTTGATGGTGTTCACGTGGTCAGCGGTTCATTGGATACAAGCATTAGAGTCTGGGAGGTAGAAACGGGAGCTTGCAAACATACGCTTATGGGTCACCAGTCCCTAACATCCGGTATGGAATTACGAAATAATATTTTAGTGTCCGGAAACGCCGATTCCACCGTTAAAGTTTGGGACATAGTGACCGGTCAGTGCCTACAAACCCTTTCAGGTAAGCTTAGCCTTTGAAAAATCCGTTTTTTGTTGTAATTTGTTTTGTTTGTTATCAGGACCATACAAACATCAGTCAGCCGTAACTTGCCTCCAATTCAACAATCGTTTTGTGATAACTTCCTCGGATGATGGAACTGTTAAATTATGGGACGTTCGCACCGGCGAGTTCATCAGAAACCTGGTGGCGCTCGACAGCGGTGGCTCGGGGGGCGTCGTGTGGCGCATTCGAGCCAACGACACGAAATTAGTGTGCGCGGTTGGGAGTCGCAATGGCACAGAAGAAACGAAATTACTAGTGTTGGACTTTGATGTCGATTCTAACTCCAGTACCACCATTTCTAGGTAATTACAGACTGCAAAAAATTGTATGAGTGCGCGTGTTTGTAGACCTACTTTTAAAACAAAGCATACTACTGATGTTGCTAGGCCACATTTGAAATTTCATTTATTTTGAGATTTGAGGTGCCCCGAAACAGGGTGCTAAAACATTCAACACGTATCATCACCAGAAATGAGGAGTCGTCACTTGTGGCGTCGAAACGGGTTGAGTGTCTTAGTAAACTGTGAAACGGGTCCAGTAATCGATTTTTAGTTTAAGTACCTGCACAAAACTCAGTTCAGTTTAATTCAGTGTCGCGTAATTCTGTGATATTACGTTTAATTAGGGGTGACATCAACAGTATGTGAATTTAACGTCTTGTTATTTCAGCTGAGGACTTTTTTGTTCAAATCTGGTGCTGTTGAGTTGGTTGTATCCGGAAGTTTCTTTTGTGTACAAAGTACAAATATTGTTTTAAGAGGGATGCCAGTGGCATCGAGTTTGCAATATTTCCACATTTGTTGTTTTTTCTTTGTAAAATTCTTAAAGGGAACAGTCTATTGTACTAAGGGTCTGTTCCTATTTTTTGATTTACATGACATGATTTGCACCAGAGAGACTGATAGTAAGTTTTAAGTTAATGGCATTTTAAGTAAAATTACCACATTAGTTTATTTCTTATGTTTGTAATGGATCAAGTGATTGGTAATTGTATCACGTGGTTTATTACAAGACAAGTTTGTTTTTTAGTGAGAAACTATGTGGTTCATGCTCAAGATTCTTGTCATAGCTCAACATAATTGTATATAGTCAGACATAATCCGTTTCATCATACATCACTAGTTTAATTAGTCTTTCTCAATTAATTTTACTCAAATTAAGTATTTTTAATTAGCTCTTGTCAAAATGTTACGATAATAGTTTAGTCGGCAATCGAAATTTTAACGATTTTAGGAATCCATGTTTTATATACAAAAATAGTTAACAAATAAGAAGACACTTAATTTGGTATAAGCAGAATTTTTTCGTTTTGTTCAGACTTTCCAAATTTCTTTCTTGATTGGTGAATTTTAATGTAATAATTTCAAAGTCTGGTGTTGTTAATGTTATCATTTCTTATCTGTATTTGTTGTATTTATTTTATAAAACAATTACTCTTATTTAAGGATTTTTATTACGTCACCTTTCAATCCTCACGAATCAAGGTTGCAAATTAAAATAAAAAATAGTACGCAAACAGTTTATTGAATTGAAACTTTTGAAGCAAAAAAAAAACTTAAAAACTTACAGTAAGTAATACATTTATGGATATTTTGTTAAATCAACTGTCAAAACTTGACTTACTAAACATTCAGCAGGCTGAGGGCAAATCCCAATCAAAGAATCAGCATGTGAATAAAATTCTTCCTTCAACGAAATAACTATGGTTTGCAAAGATTCCGTCTTCCCTCTTATATACTTGGCAACTTTACCAATATTCGTATTATCTAAAGCGGCATCAACTTCATCAAGCACGAAAAATGGTGCGGGTTGATAGCTATGTATAGCAAAGAGCAAAGCCAAAGCTGCAACTGTTTTCTCACCACCTGATAAGTTCGACATCGGCTGAAACCTCTTCCCTGGAGCCACACAATTATAATTAATTCCGTCCAAATACGGTTCTTCGGGATTTTCTGCTCCCAAAAAGGCCTGAGCTGATTGATTCTGTGCCAAAGCTTTATAAATATTATCGATTTCGTTCGACACATGATCAAAACATCGCGTGAACCTTTCATATCGTTGCTGTTTCATTTTTTCAAAAGCTGCTTTAGCTTTTTTGTTCTGTTTACGCAAATTTTCGAATTCTTCATTCGTGGATTGAAGTTTGCCTTGGGCGAGCTCGAGTTTCTGTATAGCACGCATGTTGGGTGCTTGAATTTTAGTGAGAGTATCTTGGAGACTTTTTATCGAGCTGAGGAGTTTATCAGCCATTTTCTTGATTTCGTCTTTTTCCTCAAGGTCTTTCAGAGTGTCAGATAACATGTTGTAGTCGATTTTGATTCTGGCTTCTTTCTCGTATTGCTGAACCGTGCTACTGGTATCACCGGAAGAGCTTTGAGATGGATCTGAGGCCACTATGTCCTCCATGTTGCCCACAATCATTGGAATAGCCACATCGTCCATCTTGCACTGCATGAGAATCGCGTGTCTTTCGCTCTTTTTCCCTTCGATTTTCGTTTCTAGAGAGACTACAGACTTCTGGGCTGCTTGGACATCTTTCGCTATACTTCCCACTTCTCTCCTTGCCTTTCCCAACTCTTCTTCCATGCTATCAACCTCTTGTTTCTTGTGAAGTCTCTGTGCTTTCAACTGTTCGACTTGTTGCAAATCTTTATCAATTTCTTCACGTTGTTTCTGTTCCTGTTTCTTGCAAGTTTCCAGACGTTCTTCTTCATCATTTACGGTTCGTTCCCATCGACTTACATTATCTGTAATGTTTTATTTATATTTTTGAACTGGGGATTTAACCGAACTCTTACTCTGCGTATCGCGGCTGCGTTCAAATTCGAGATTAGAGGTAATTCTATTGATTTGCTTCTGGAATTCCAATCTCTTCTGTTTTCTTTCTTCTTGTGCCCGCAACTCGCGATCTTCATACTGACGGATGTTTCGAATACCGATTTCTTGACAGAATTTCGAAAAAACAACATCTTCCACACTGTTCATTTGCAGTTTGATTTCTTCAATTTGATGTTCACGCGTTTGCATTGTTTTTTCGATTTCTTCAATTTTCGGCTAATTCCCAAAAATTAATCGAATTCAAAAGTAGATTTTTTTTAAACTTACCCCATATTTTTCCATTTCTTCTGATAACTTGGCTAACTCCGCATCGACAGCGTTGATTTGTTTCATCTAAAACAGTAATCAGCATTTCAACAATTCTGGCTAAATACCTCATAAGAATTCTTACTGTGCTCTCCATATCAGTTTTAGCATATCTCAGCCTAGTTTCCAAGCCCCGAATTTGCGAATCGACCGTATTCAGCTCAGATTCTTTCCTCGATTTTTTCATAGCATCTCGGAGTTCTTCTGTAAGTTTTTCTTTTTGGGCCTTTAACTGGGAAATGTGCTTCTCATCCCACCTTTTTGCTTTTCTTGCCAAGTCTAAACTACCACCGGAAATTATACCGGATTTTTGGTAGTAAGTACCATCAAGAGCTACAGCCTAAATTTAAAACAGAAACACTTTTATTTTTTTGTGGAATATTTTTTTATCAAACTCACATCATAGCGTCCACCTAATTCATATGCTACTTTCATTGCATCTTCAGGAGTTTCGCAAACCAAAGCATTATTAGTAGCAAAAAGTACAGCATGAGCTACAGCTTGAGGTTCAAATTGGAGAACGTCATACAAAAGCTTAACACCTTTTGGTTCTGTAATATTCCTCAATCTTTCTTTGACAGGTTTCGTTTGCAAGTAATCGAGAGGAAGAAACGTTTCAGGGTCTAACATTTGTTCCTTGAGGTATTTAATGCATTGTCTAGCAGTATGTTCGCTGTCAACAACTATGGCTTCCATAAATTTACCCAAAACTTTAGTAATGGCGACGTTATATCTTTTATGGATGGGTTGGCACATGTTAATCATGCGATCATACTAAAAAACGTGTTTTTCAAATTTTAAAACCCATTAGCAAGACATACCACTCCAGGATAGTTGCTTTTGAAGCGCTCAACAATTTCTTGTTTTTTCTTCCTTCTTGCATCTTCATGTTTGTCAGTTCTTGCATCTCCCAATTGTTCTAAAACATCGTCTAGTTGTTTCTGAATTTCATGGACGCGGTCTTTTGATGACCCAACATCTGATTGCAAATCAGAACGCAGTTGTTTCTGGTCTTGCAAAGCCTGCTCACTCAACCTTTAAACCGTAATAATAAAAATCAAAAATCGAAAATTTAGGAAAATTAATTATTACCGGATATGTTCAGCTAATTTCTCAATTCTTTTCTCCATTTCCTCTTTCTCGTGACATTTCTGCCTATGTTTGTTTTCCGCATCAGTCCTCATTCTTGAAACGTTGTCAAGTCTGTCTTGATCTGATTTCTGTTCTCTGTTGACAGAATCCAACTCTTGCATGTATCTTGCCGACCTCTTAGCGGCTTCTTCTTTCAATCTATGATATTCCCTAACCTAGATACAAAAGGAGAAAATCTCAACACTATTTATTATCTCTCACAAATCTTTTACCTGTTCATCTTCAAGATGCACATCTCTGCCTTGACTTTGTGACTCTCCTGCAATCTGACTTTCATATTCTTCTTTAGCTCTTTCAACTTCCGCTAATTCGTCTTCTAACTTTTTAATATCATTCATATGGGCTTCATGGGCTTTTCTCGCTTGTTCCAAAGTCTTTATGGCCCCGTCCAATTTTTTCTGCATGTGAGACACACGCTCTTTCGCTTTAATAAACTGGGGCCGCTTCTTGGAAATTTCAACTTCCTGAAATGAATTATAAAGGTGCGAATAATGAATATTAAACAATAACGTTTTTGAACTTACAACTTCGCGAATATCTTGTTCAATTTTTGCTAATTCACGGTTAAATTTGCCTTGTTCTTTTTTCTTTTCTTTTAAAACCTCCTCCGCTTTTTCTTTTTTCTTTTCAATTTTTTCCACTTCTCTTTGTTTGTGTTTTAAATCATTTTCCAAATTTTTCATTTCACGCTCGTTGTGGTATAAACGGAAAAGTTGGTGTTCCACGAGTTTGTCATTCTGTGGTTACAAATTAATAAGAATTGTACATTTTACTAATAGATGAAAAATGTTTTTATTGAAAACTACTCCTAAAATTTCCTACGCACCAAATCATCTTTAAGTCGAGCATATTTATCGGCCTCTTCTTTCTCAAGTCTTGCTTCTTTGCGTTCAGCATTTATCCCTTTCTTTTTCTGATAAGCAAAATTAATTTCCTCTTGTGCTTTCTGCATTTGTTGTTTAAGACGATCATATTCCTCTTTTAAGGCACCAGAACTAAAATTGTTTGAAATTAAGAACAAAAAGCAAAAGCGTAAGTAAAAAATACCCGCTAATTTCTTCAAAAAGTGCGGTCATTTCTTTAGGATTCTTCATTGCAACAGATTCTACTGCCCCTTGGAAGACCAAAAAATTCTTTCCTTTTACATTAATGCGTAATTTTTCTAATTCAGTTAGATATTCATTATTTGATACGACCTAAAAAACAAAATTATTTACTGTTTAAAAAGATGTTTGAATGTATCTACAAATAGGGTAGCATCAAAATATCAGGTAGAACAATAATGTACGTGCTTGCCTAAGCAGTATTACAGCAACTTACGTAATACTGATCTGTGAAGCACCAGTCTACAGCTAGAAAACACTTACAGTTCCATTGATTCTGTATTCAGATGAAGAACCTTGCACAGAGCGCTGAAAGCAGATTTCTTTGCCACTTTCCTCATCCAGAACGAAAACAGCTGCAACTGAGGCACTAAAAAAGACAAGTCCAATTTGCAATCAAGTTACAGTGGCACAAAAGAAAAGTCAATACCTCCTTGATATGGGTTTGCTAATAGCAGCTCCATGAATAAGGTCACTCAATCTCTTAACACGCAAACTTTGGGTCTTTTCACCCATAACAAAGCTAATTGCGTCCATAAAATTGGATTTGCCTAAGAATTTATAAGATTTGTATATTTGAATGCAAAATGTAACGGCACCTTACCTGAGCCATTGGGACCGATTACAGCATTGAAAGGTTTTAAAGGTCCGATTATTCGATGCCCTTTGTATGACTTGAAGTTTTCCACTTCAATATGTTTTAATCTCGGAGGCATTTTACGATTTTTACAGAGAATGTACAATTTTTTTGAACCTAAAAACACCGCTCACTCGACCACAAACAACAAATATGGCGGCTTCCCACTAGCGTCACTACCAACATATGAAAAGTGAAAACACTAACAATACAAAAATTTCCCACATGAGATGTATTCTAACATTTGAAAAACTTTAAAAGACCAAACCGACCGAGATTGCACCCTGTCGTCATTCGCACCATAGTTCTAAAGAATTTTTTTTTTCACTCAATAATTATTTTTTATCATAAGTCTAAGCTTGGCCCTTTTTTTAAAATAAAACAAAGTTAAAATATTAATTGTAATATTGGTAAAATTAACACATTCAATTAATACATGTACACTTTAAAGTTGTTACAATAACAAAAATAACTTAAGACGGTTTAGGAGTATCTTGTAATAGTAGACATTGCTTTTGTATTTTCCTTGACAAACTTCTTGATCTCGTAACACTTGGCGGCATTTCGTCATCTCTTCTCTCCAATTTTGGGGTACATAAAACAATGCATTCACTTCTCATGCTGCTGTACAAATCAAGCGCTCTTCTTGTGGGACTGTTGCATTCTATGTTCTTTGATAAATTTTTGTTCAGCGTTGATTTTCGTAAATCCACATCTTTTAGCACAGCAGGTGAAGTAACAAACTTTTTTACAGAATGTTTTGCTGCTATTCTACCAGACCTTCTAATTTTATTTTCCTTATCTTCCCGAAGGTCATGCATCATTTCCATTATGCGATTTATCCTAGTTTGACGTCCCAGAACATACTGCTGGAATGCCTCTTCATCTTCTTTTAATAAAGCCTTTATCTTATCCTCGATTGAATTCGTTTTTTGAACAGAATTAGTTATTTTTGTACTTTCTAATAAGGAACACACTGAAGTCATTGGCGACGTATTATAGCTACTATTTTTAAAAGATTTTTTGGTTGAAGCTAATTGCTTTTCTAAAAACGAAAATTCTCTGTCTTCACAATCTGTTGAATCATCACGAATTGGCGATGAAAAATTTGACAAAGCCTGGGAAGGGGTAGACAGTTTTTTTTCAGTATGAGATTCAATTTTATTACTTTTTGTTGAAAGTGGAAAGACAGTTTTTGGGTTTGGCGAAATAAACTTTTTGTTCCGAGATAACAGTTTTTCAGCTTCGTCGGCATTAATTAAAGGTGACCCATCATTAATATTGTCTTTGTTGCTCTAAAACAACATTTCTGCTATCTGTTATACAGTACGTTATTCTTACCTTTGGAACCCGTAGTGTCGACATCCTTTTAGAGGAATTTGCCTTTTTGGTGAGAGACTGTCGACTTTTATAAGAAAACCTTCTTTCTGTCGAATTTTTAGGTGCTTTAAATAGTTGTTTGCAAACTGGTCTTTCTATTTTACGCTTTTTCGGAGATTTTTCAAAATCGATGATATCCAATTGCAATCTCTCAATAGGGAAGAATTTTCTTTTAATTGTGGTGATTTTTTCTTCGCCTTTTTTTGTTGACGAAGTACTTGCAACGTTTTGAGTCGGAAGCAATTGCATGGGTAATGTGTGAGTTTTCCCGTTTTCATCTTTTGCTACAATTTCAAAATACATAAAAGCTACTAAGGTCGAAAGAGCTTACCAAAGCCTTCACAAATTTTCGTTAGACGACTCATTTTTCGCACTTTTCAAAAACACCAAACACGAAATAAAATAACAGTCACTGATGTCTGTCAAAAACTTCTTTTTAAACCAACCAATCGGCAACGTTTTATCCAACATTTTCACCAACATAACAACTGAAATTTTTAAATATAATTTTTATTATTTATTTACACAAGTTAACTTAAAACAATTAAATTATAAAACACGTATCATACAAATAAATGGTGCTCCCCTTAGACTAATCAATTAATTATATACTTAAATCGTAAATTAAAAAATAAATTTAATTTTAAGTGACAAAACCAAAGTTCCTAAAAATGTCATATGGGTCTTTTATGAACTTAACCTCAAAGTGTGCACACATTACGATTTTTTTCTTGTGTTTATATTAGTTTAAAGTTGTTTTTGAAAGGTAAGTAAATGCCAAAAGAATTTCACACAAGCAATCTGGTATTAATTTTAGAAAATGGCTAAAAGTATTCGTAGTAAGTGGAAGCGAAAGTGTCGTGCAATCAAACGAGAACGTTATGGTAAAAAGGAACTGGAGCGTTTAAAGAAGACTCTGGGGATCGATGATAGTCAGTCTGATAATAAGGATGTAAATAAGACTGAAATTTCGGAAGTAGTCAACGTCGTAGATGCTAAATCCATGAAAAACAAAGGAGAAAACGATGAACAAATGAAAACTGACACAAAGAAACGCGTTTTTAACCCTAAGACTTTGAGAGATGAACATGGTGCATACCCCGTATGGTTACACCCGAGGAAAATTGCTAAGAATAAGTCCAAGAAAGCAAAGAAAGTGAAAAAAGGGAAACACTAATTGTTAAGTATAGTTGGTTTATTAAAAATAAAAGTACATTTTTAAATGTTTATTTATGTTTTTACATATAAATATAAGTTTAGATTTTTACATAGATGTATACACCGATTTTATAAAGTCCTAAAGTGAACACATTTACACCCTGGAGGATGTTCTTGTGGTTTTTCACAGTCACAGCTTTCTTCCTCAGATGGAGGAGGAAAATGCTTAGAGTTACTAGAAGGCGAAATTCCTTGATTTTCAACATCGATGCTACTTTTTAGATGTTCAATATCTTGATTATAACTTTCCTAAAATTAATTTTTGCTGTTGTACATCAGGGGAATTTAAGAAAAATTTATCGTGTACCAATCGTCGCAGTTTGCATGCTATACTACCGATATCGCTAGATATTCTATCAATATTTCCATAAATACTTTTAAGATCCTGCTTCGTAACTTCATTGTTACTTTTTTCTTTCATCATCTGAAATCACCATGAAATTAATTACACCACCCGGTCGTCCTCTTCATAATAAATTACAGATATTAATTTTTCGCTTCGCTCAAATTGGTTTAAATCGTTTTAAAATTACACTGACCGCCCGTGTAATATGCAAGAACCTGAAATATAAGACTTTACCTTTTCCAGCGTCTGCAGACGTTTATCCATCTTATCCAATCTTTGCTGTGCATCCAAATCTTTGGCCTCGAGCGCCGTATCGTCGTCGTCTGAAACGCGACGTAGTTAACTCTTGTTGGATTCGGCTCTACCCATTTCCATATCATGAAATATGTAAATACTCACTCTCTTTACGACAAGTCTGACCGTCTCTTTGCAATACGAAGGACTCTTTGCATTCGCATCGGTAGCTCCCGGGTGTGTTGTAACATATTTGGTCGCAAGGCTTCTGCTTGCACTCATCCACGTCTTTGTCACAGAGCTTACCAGTGAAGCCTGGTGGGCAGATGCACACGGACTTGGTCTTGCAAGTGCCGCCGTTCTTGCACGGCAGACTGCAGTCCGCTAAAACAAACAGAATCCCATCAAAAAGATGGATAATAAAGAAACAGAGTTCCAGGCATGAATTATTCATCGCTTAGTTTCTTGTTGAATTCAGAACAAAACATTTTCTCTGCATAAAATTCTGTTTAAGAAAATAAAAAGCAAATAAGTGGTTGATAGACTGTTTTTCTACCAGTTTTGTATTAAATACATAACTTCCTTTCGTACTGCCATTTGCCGGTAATACTCATCAATTAACAGGGCATTATTTATTTTTTATTTAATAAAAAAGGAAAATAAGTAAACTTTGTAGAGCGAATAACAAAATAATAATCAGAAAAAAATATAATTAATATTAATATGACATGCAAATTTTCTCTTCTGGAATATTTATTAATATCCACTTCGCCTCACTTTTTCACAATTCTAACAAATTTCTACTAAATTTCTTCTAAATCTAAAGGTTGAAGATTTTACACGTTGTACTTACTTTGAATCTGCGCATTTTCACAACGAATTCCGGTGAATCCCGGAGGACAAATACAAATCGGAGGCCTACAGGTTCCTCCATTTAGACACACAGGACACATGGCTGAAAAAATTACAACAATTACGAAACTGAGGGCTAAAAAAGGCTTTGAGGACGTGATCGAAAGCCTTACGTCTGTCATCGTCTTGCAACCCGTTGTGTTTGGAAGGACGTTGTTTAGGACAAATTCGAGCACAAGTGCACTGAGATTGGGGACACACTACGTGAAGAGGACACAAATTGGGACATATTTGGGGACACCAAGGTGGACAATGCTGGGGACAAAAGGACGGGCCCAGAGACTGACAAAGACAGATAGTTTGAACGGGACCATAACCATTGGGACAACTACACCCGTCTAAAATCGATCAGCGTCCATCGAAAAATTGCTGCTTTGTGCGATACATACCAGGGGTATACACGGTGGTTTTAGTTTCACAATACGTGCCGTCGTATCCCGGGGGACACATGCAGACGTTGGGTCTCACACATTTGCCTCCGTTGATACAAGGCTGAGAGCACACAGCTGCAATAAAAATAAAATAAACACAAAATCTTTACAGTACAATTTTCCGCTTTGTTTAATTGATTTCAAATAAAAAAAATGCCATCATTTAAGCTAAAATAAAGCCGCTTTTTTATTAATATGATACACAAATATTTTATCGCGCAATGTGGACAAACAAAGTGGTAATGCCGATGTTGCATTAAAACGTTGACTGTGTCAAGGAAATATAATTTACAAAAATGGTAGGTACCAAAGATAAGCTTTAATCTTTGCAAATCCAGGCGAAAGAATGCAAAAATAATGGTTCAAGCGTCATTAGTGGAGAGCTCAAGACTAGATCCATATATAGATGAGTGAAAAAGAATCCCTCTGGTACTGGACAAGTTGCAGAACTTCCGTAATTGGATATAAAAGTTGCTGCTTGCTTGGGAAAAAGAACCTGTCGCTGCGTTGTAATTGTGTTTCAAGAAGACTAGCAGGACGGGATAATGAGGGAAATAAATAATAAAAAATATCCGCAACGGTGTATTGTAGTTTTTCACTCATCAAAGTAAATTTAATAATTTTGTCATTTTAATTTTTTATTTTGTTGGCACAGCATTAGTTTATGAGCAGTGTCGGTTGTTATATTATAACATTGCGGACTTCATCTTTGTGTTTATGTTTTATAAAATCAATAACGTTCCGCATCTCGTGTCTGTTAAAATTTATATCTACTTCGGCAATTTTCAACGCTGTTACGAAATAACGTAGGTTTTTACAAAGTATAATAAGGTTTTTAATTGTCTCCCTTGACAATCTTTATAAAATAGAAAAACAATTATTTTCAAAAACATTTTTATTTTATTTATATTTTTACTTTGTCTTACTTTGCATAAAACACTTAGTAAAAAAAACAGGTGTATCTATAAGTAGATATACATATTTAGTGGATTTTTATTATAATGTATCAGCAACAACAAACTATACAAACATTTTAACATAATTAATTTTAGGCATTAGTTATTGCTATTGCCAAGCATTTAAGAAATTTTGCTCACAACTCGATTATTATTGTTTTTTGTTTTTGACATAAAAACAAAAGTTCATATTCTACTGAAAGTAGTAAAAACAAGAAGTTCTACAATTTGATCGTACATATACAGGGTGTTTTACATAATTTTACGAGGCCTGCGCCATATTCCGATACAAACTCGATTACAAAATTTTGAAAAATTGGATAATCTGTAATTTGTTGATCCTTTCAAAAATTAAAAGGTTTTTAGTTAGTTAGTGATTAAGATAGATAAACTAGAATCATATTCATGCCGTTTCTTGATAGAACAAATGATAATTGCAGTTTATGACTATTAATGAAACAGTGATTAGTTTGACATTTACTGTTATGGGTTTTCAAAAATTAAATAATTAAATGTGACTTTTGTATATTTGGATGCATACATTAGGCGCAAGCCTCGTAAAGTTGTGTGAAACACTCTGTATACATACCTATGAGTTAACTTTTGACTTTGAAACATGGAATCTAGCATTCAACAATAATTCAATTTAAAATTTCTTTTTTCAAATATGAATTCTGCTTTGGACTTGAAATTTTAAGTTTGAAATTAAAATTAAAAAAAAATATAGCAGGAATCAAGAAACGATATGTAGGTACTACCATTACCTCACAACATTAGCAATATATAATTTTTTAGTGTAGTATGCATTTATTTTATTTCAATTTCAAAAAAGTTCATTTTCATCAAATTAATGACTAATTCATAAGAAATAGACAAACAAATACAAAAAATCTGTTCTGATCTGATTAACAAATCCGACAAACTGTCATTGTTTACTCTTTTTTTGATGAGGTTGTCGATAAAAAAATAAACGGCGATCGCACCGAGGGATTAAAAATCCGTTAATTGGAGCGTTAAAATCGCCTATAATTTACAGCAAATTAAAACCTCGTCGGCCCCTTTTCACGAAAATTTTATTTCGACAATCAATAATCCGCCACGTTTAATTGACAGCTACTAAATTACATTTCTGCACGTGCGGATGTTCCAAAAATCGTGTCGAATTTGTTTAATCTCGATTCACCGGTTTAATTAACTTGAGCAATGTTGTATCATTGCTAATATAATAATTAAAGAGGAAAAACCGCCATGTTTGAGTATAACAACACTTTCGAAATTGTTTATCCGACCACATCATCGGCAGCAACAACACTAAAACTCGTCCCCAAATTGCACCTTGTCAAAACTCGGTTTAACGACAATCAACATTAACACGTCCATAAAGATTATTCCGATGTAAATCTCGGGTTGATCGCATATATTACAGTCACATCAGCAAGGATTCGTGTTTATAAATCACGGTGTATGCTGCAACGTAGACGACTTACCCTAAGGCTTTTAAATGCAGAAAAAGACAAAGTCTTACGAGGAGGTGTTGAATTTTAAATTGGAACTTCAGCTTGGATTACCTGAGGGTTAGGTTTTTATCACAGAGGGATGCACAACGTTGCATAAATTACAGTCAGCGAGGTTGATGATACTTGGAGCTTCGTCAGGCCTTTGTTATTTGATGTATAATGAAATAGAGTAGGGTCTATAACGTTTAATTGTGCGTGGTTGCAATAAATGAGTATTTTTAGAATTTTGCAAGAGTTAAAGTAGTTAATTGGTAATAAACGGGATAAACATAGTCCAGGTTTACCAACGAAAAGGATGACATCAAAGTCTCTGTTCTGAGGACGCAAAATTTAATAAATTTCACATAAAGAGACCAAACCTATTTTTGTTTGAACAACTTTTAACTCAACCATTTGGTATCTTTGATTTTGAGGATATACTACAAAAATTTCGGAAATAGTTGTATAAATATCAAACTAGAGTTTTATCAAAAACTCTATCTTATGTTCATCTCTACATTCGGTTTTTTAAACCTTTTTAAATTTTCTGGCGTTCGTATTCTTCTGAACACGGCGAGAATTTCTCACAACTTGAATATAAAATATCTACAAAATTTGATATAGAGTTTTGGCGACGAGACTTGCCGATATAAATTATTTATTTTTTCGAAATGTAATTGTATTTATTTATTCTTTACGTCCTGAACTTTTTTCTAATGTTCGTATAATCAGAGCATTTTTTAAGCGGCTAAAATCTTAACTTTACGGGTTTTTTTATAATTTTTTCTCCCCGTTTCAGGTCACCGTCTTTACAAACTCCGGCCGCTTTCAGTTTGAAGATTCACTTCTCAAACCCTGTTGAATTGTCGTTCTCGAGCACCTCCAAGTGATACCTAATGACGGTCTGAAAAACCGCTCCCCAATCAAAAAATGCCATTTGTCTTCACAAACATCCGTTAAATTTTCCATGAGTTAACCGCTCGCAACCGATCGATAAATTTAAAGCGAATCTTTCGTCCTTGCGAAAGAAATTGGCCGTAACATCGAGCACTTACGTTTATTACAGCCGTGACTCTTGTAATTGACCTGTGTCCATCCTGGGCAGCAGGTGTAGTCTACTAGAGTGTGGTTGGCGTCTGTGACAACTTCTCTGTGGTATTTTTCGTACACTAACCTGAAAATGGATGGAGTTGCACCCTTGAATTTCTATCCTCGAAGCGAAAAAAAGCCTACCTAACACCTTCGCACCATTGGGTGCCACAGCGTACCATGTATTTCTTGTAGGTGGGTTTGGCGAACACGCGTTTTGTGCGGATGGGGTAACTGACGTTTCTTTGATTTGCGCATACATGTCTCCTGGAAATAAGGAAAGATGTGTTTAGTGTCGGAAGGAATAAACCACATGGTCAAATTCTATTGCTTCTGAGGGAACTCATTGATGTTGATATGCGATCGTAAAAGTGAATTTGTAAGTTTTTATAAGTCTAGACTAGACAAGATTTGTCTACTAAAATTTAATTCTTCCCATCACGAAGTAGACGAAACGATTGACTAAATTCCAGAGCCTGACATAATATTGTTTTAATTCATGTAATAAACAATATTATGTGATCAAAAATTATCTATACGGGATGTTTTTAAAATCAATGTATTCCCATTAACCACTTATGTGATTCGGTATGGTAAGTCAAGCTTTTTAAATCAAGTTGGACGCAATATATCATTTTTATTAATTAAACTGAAACGTCAACTTCTTCAATATCAAAAATCCAATCAAAAATATTGAATAGTCCTAAAAGAGTCGTAAAAGCGTTTTATTTTTCTAAAGCCTATTATTCACACAGTTGATTACAAAACTTGCATTCCGCTTGTTTTGGAAGTTTCGTCTTTGTGAAAAAAAGCTATTTGCATAATACTTATACTAGTAACTTTCGTTTTTAAAAACTCAATTAGAGAACTCTGTACCTACATATCAAAGATGAAAATAAAAAAAATTCTGGACATTTTCTAAATAAATTGAAGGAGTGAAAACTATAAACAAAATAAAGATAGTATGTAATAAAAATGTTAAGATAGTTGCGCACATAAAATAGTCCTTTATTTGACAAATGATAATTAGTTAAAATCAAACAATGGAATTCGAGCTTTCAAATTTTTTATATTTTCTCTATAAAATATATTTTTTTATGTCACTGTCACAATGGGCATTTTGTGTAACTGAAAACAGTTGCATAAAATGCAATTTTGTGACACTGTTTTTTTGACGACATTTTGTGCAATACTTTGGTCATCACTGGTCCCAGATTGTTGTTTTTAAGTGAGAAAATGTTGCAGTTTAATAATTTAAAAAGTACTCAATAGAAAAAAATAGTATAGAAAACACGTGTTACAACCTCTGATTGTAATACTCGTGCATTTATAATACAATGAGAGTATTTGAGACACTTGTTTTTTAATATTCACTACTCCAAAAAATTGAAGGAGCAAAAATTTTACCTAAATTTTTTGTTGATTTTTGAAAGGCTGTTATTTATTTAAAAATGCTCGTATTAAAAGAAAAACTATTTTGAAGCTAGTTCTAGTTTTGAGATCTTTTGGTAATAAAAATTATGTGCCACGGTAATCACGAAATCCTAAGTAGGTAATAAATAGCACGAGAAAAAAAATCTAAAATTTGTTGTTTTTAGAGCACGGACGTAGGTTTTTTTAGTTAGGTCAATGTATAGGCCAGATAACATGTTTATTCACCTTTAATATGCTTTTTTCATATTCTCTTTATGTCAATTTGTCGCTGAGATATCTGACTTTAAATGAAAAAGGATCCTTTTGTCTTTGATCATCGATATCTCAATGACTACACAGAGAGTATTAAGGGTAGTGTCAAATACTGGAATAAATGTCTTATTATAAGATTCTTTTATAATTTTTTGGAATTCTTTTTACCTTCAACATTGATTTAAACAAAAGAGTAAAAAGTAGAAATTTTTTCACTAATATTAATGAGGAGACTAATGTTTGTAGTAATGTGTTGTGTGATAACTGTAACAAACAAAAAAAATAGCAAAAGATCTCAAAACTAGAAACTTAATGCTTCAAAATGTTTTTTTTTTTTAATCTAGATATGACAATTTTTAGATGAATTACAGCCTTTCAAATATCACCAAAAAATTTATGAGAAAAATTTTTGTTTTAACTAAGTAAACAGGGTGATTCTTAAATAGACCGACAAAATTTTATCCTTAGTAGTATCAAATGAGAACATGCTGGAAAAAATATTTAAAAAATTCTTTGTTTAAACGTTCTCCACATAAAATTTATTAAAATTATTTTCGAAGTAAAGCGTACGCCACTGATGTGTTAGCACAGGTAGTGGAAACCATGGTATTAACGTGATGAAAATGTACTTGATCATTGCAACAATTCATAAACGCCGTAAGTGGCACGGATCAAGGGGGTTTTGCCCCTAAAAGGTATAAACGTAAAAAGGGTACAGTTTGTCTCCATTTATCATTAGAAAGCTGTGATAAAATTTTGTCGGTCTATTTAAGAATCACCCTGTATAAATTAATAAAAATAAATTTAAGTTGCAATAGCAACTGTGTACCAACCTAATTACTAAAGTTAAAAATTTTATTAAAACAACTTAAAAAGTGAAATGTGTTAAATTTTAAAAACAATATATTTTCACAAATAAAAAAAATCAAATTTTAAAATTTTAAAAGTGTTTCTGTCGTTTAAGGGCCAATTTAATTCCACAATACTTGTGTGGAAGGAACTTTCGCCTGTTAGAAATTGAAAACAAAGAATTCATTTTCATTAAATGACAAAAAAGCCTTATATGCGCCCATGACGTTGCCTTTGATTGTGCATTGAATGCAGGAAACAAAAAGATGAACCGTTGAAGAATAAGCATCTAATTAAATTAATGAAGACATCTCGGATGGAACGATGACAGGCGACTTTACATATAATGCACAACTTCATTCTTCTGACATTTCGAGTTAATTGCAACACAAGCCCGAGTTTATTTATGAAACGGGAGTACAAATTGTTGTCTATTTTTAACTGAAGAATGTAGTCCGTGACCGGTGAGTCACTTCAACTAAATGACAAGGAATATTAATTAATGAGCCGCTACCTGCTTATCAAAATAAATGTTAATAATGAAATAATAAATGGAAGCTAATCTTCAGTAAGCGTGTGGATAATTAAATCGGACAGTTCGCGTTCGGATTGTTGTTTTTGTCAACGACAGAATTAATCTCTCGGGGATTCCAAAATGATTGTATTTTTCTTTTCGTATTTAGTTTCAATTCATCATTGTGTGCCATAAGTAGAGAATGGTAAAATTGATAAAGTCATTTTGGTATTAAGTTTAATTACAACGTCTGGTTTGGCATTAACGATCTTTTGTTCGCGAACAATGTGTGTGGGAACCTCCCGCAATTTAAAGAGTATCACGAACCGAAAACTCGAGCCCTCATCCAGTTCATCTGACAGGTGCACAGGTGGTCCAACCCACGGGTCCAGAAAAAATCGTGTACTAATGCAGCTCCCGAGTTGCGCTTAATTAATCGGAATTACTGTCAAACGCTTATATTGTCTCATAAACGTCAATTGGATAAATAAAGAAAGGAGAAAGAACGGCCGAATACCTATGTTAAAATATTCAGCCTGTGGGGAAGATGGTTTTGTTCCAGGTAATAATTTAGGTGAGACGTCTTGAAAATTTAAAGTCGAGTGCCATATCATCCATCATTTGAATATGATAATGAGTTGGTTCTTTGCTTTGGTTAAGTCGTTTACTAACCTGTTTGCTGGCTCGAAGATTGGCAGAGATAAGGCGAGACGTGCAATTAAAATGAAGGGTTCGTCTACGAACTAATTCCATTATGGGTAATAGGCCGATAGGAGAAAAAAAGCACAGTAGAGCTGAGGAAATTAGGCTATTGTTTTAAACAGCCAATTTCGTTAATTTACTAAATTGACTTAACTCTACCAAAATGTTAAGGCCATTATAAGGTGTTGAACTCTATAAAGCAACTATTAGAGACAATTACGCAAAAAGAAGGATTTTAATAGGATAATGTCTCAATGAAAAAGATTTTCTTACTAAAAATAAACCGTTTCGTTTTGACCATGTAGCGATCCCAGACACATATCATTTCTGTATCACAGATAAAAGACGTCAGTTATCCCATTTTGTGTTTAAAAAATGTGTTTACGATTGAGTAAATTACTACGACAATGGCCCAAAGAGTCTTCAGGTTTAAATAAAAATATACATACCTGGACATAATAATTTAGACGTGGGACCAAAACAGAGGGTTAACTGGAAATTTACGGTTGAATTTTGAATCAATTTATGCAGTACTAATCAACATAATTGAGATAATTATCGAAAATGACCTAATGGTCATGACTGTCAAGTCATGACAGTTTGTGTGAAATCTGACGTTTACTGACGGATTGAAATATCCTTTTTTGTTTAATATCACACGACTCCCGCTTCACGAATTATTCTATTTGCTGATCCTCATTAAGAATTCTATTCAATTATTCAAACATTTTTTTATTTCGCTCAATTTATTGTTGATTAAAGTAAAACAAACACTTTCTGTTGACCCAAAGGAAAACAAATAAAGTTAAAGATAAGTATAAAATATTTCTGCAAAAAGTCGAATATCAAGAATATTTCTTGGAACATGGTGAGATAAGTTGTTTCAGTGCAATATTTTCACTTTTAAGTCTCCGGACTTTAAACAATTTTTGAAAAATTAACATAAATACCGCCGACATTTACATGCAAACTAAATTACAGAGATAGACAATGATAAATTGTCGCCGGTTCAAAAAACGTCTTGCTATTTAGTGTTTTTTGGATATTCTTCTCCCAATAGTGTCTGTTGACTCTGTTACTCTGAGCACTTTCAATATTTAGAGCAAATTTGCCCGTCTTTTTAAACCGAGAGGTTTATCGCAAAATTGCATCTCTGGTGTATAATACTGATGGGAATCGATTTGCTCCTCAAAGGTTATTGGATTTTAAACTAAATTTTTACCACCAATAAATTAATCAATTCAGTTCGACCTTTTGTGCGTTTTTAATATGCAAGAACGATTAAAACGTCTCATAAAAATCAGTTTTATGGCTGTCTTATTGGCTGCTTTCAGCGGAGACATTTTTATATCTCCTGAAATTTATCACGAGCAAATTCAAATTGCTTGCCTTCGACGGCCCCCATTGGTCGCCTCGAAGGGGTCCAAATGAACATGTACAGCCGTCTCCCGATAAAAGCAACTTGTTGAATTATAGCAGTGTAAAATTTCCTGTCGAAACAAAATAATTAAAACGG